AGTAAACCTTGAACTAAATTTGTTTTGAAAGCAGTACATAGCAATGGATAAAAAAACCTAACAGTATTCATCTGTTAAGCTTGGTACTGATACAATTGCTTGAATGGCATGCAGCCACAAAAAGTGCAGTCTGGTTCTGGAGATGTGCAGTCTGGTTCTGGAAATGTGCAGTTTGGTTCTGGAAATGTGCAGTTTGGTTCTGAAAAAGTGCAGTCTGGTTCTGAAAAAGCCCAGTTATGTGTAATTTGTAGGAAAACTACCAATTATTGATGGAAATTACCGTAAAACCACTTACATTTTTCAAGACAATTTTTCATGAATTGGCAAGTCAAAAACAATACATTTATTTTAATCAGTACTTGAGGAACCCCCCCCCCCCCTCTCCCGAGCAGAAAAGCTGTTAAATCCGGAAAACGCAAACATTTCTAGCAGTGAAAATTATAAACTTCTCATATTATTGAGAAATTAGTTGACTTGGAAGCTCATTAGATTTTAAACAATGGGCCAATAGCTGTTGGTGAATAACAGGTGTTAATAGAAGGATGGGAATAAGAATAACTTTTACCATTATGCCCTGCACAGATGTTTTGTTAGTACAGTGATTGATATAGAAAGGTGGAGGCCACAGGATGCCTTTTACTTCAGCCATTCAATTGTAAAACTATACAATGGAATCACTGTTGTTCTTTTGTTGTATCTGAACACTCCAGCCACTTGCCGTTCTCGCTCGCATTACTAACTGTGGAAATTGATGTGGAAAATGCAAATTTGGCTCACTAGCCATGATTGTATTGATGCTTATCTGATGTGCATGCAATATGTGTGTTGTTGTGAAATGAGTCTACTTGATGAGGTGCCTGTATCCGGAGAACGAGGTTGAACAGAGAAAAATGTTGAGTATCATTAGTGACGGCCATTCATCATTTGTAGTTCAATGTATGCAACAGTATATGTAAATTTTTGTCATAAAATATCACTGCACATCCAGAATGTATTCCTTCAAAGTTTTTGCAAAGTGAAATCTGCAAAGTGAAATCTCAAGTGGCCTTTAATTTTTATTTAAATTGTCATCAAAACTTCAATTTCAATTTTTCTAAAATCAATCCTGTGAACTGATGTGGGGCATGGTAAACAAAGATTTTTTTTTTGAACCTAACATGCAAAAAGTATTTTCTTATTATTGCTAAGAATCATTTTATTATTATTGATTCATCAATATCTACAAGGAGTAATAAAATTATTTCTGAAATTTGTCAAACTGAAGGTATAATATAATAAATGAAAATCAAAGTACATGTAGTGGCAAAAATACACAATAAATTTGTCTACATTTGATGTCTCAAGCGATAGTACCTTTTCCTATTATCACTGTGAATTGAGAAGAATCATCAAGAACTCTTCCAACAAACATTTATTCTGTATTATTAATTAGTACACTGCTTTTTGTGCATTGGAAATTACAAGTCAAACCCATTTGCAATTACTAATGGTCAGATTGCTAATAAAAGTGACTTGAATTCAAAAATTCAGCAGCAATGCACCAATTTTTTTAAAACACACTCAACAAATTTTTAGACTTTCAAATTTATAAAGATTTAAGCAAGCATGAAAAAGTCGTAGGTTTCTCAGGATACTCTTACTACAACACATTGTAGAAAATATGGATACATTTTTTTTTTTAGTCGGAATTACATATTTCGTTTATAATCCCAATTTGGATTTTCCCTGTAGTGAAAAAATAATTCTGAAGTATATGAAATAACAGAAATAAAGTTTTCTACAATATCTAAAATAAAATAAAAAAAACGGTAGAGCGGTTATGACAAATCCTTCAACTGATGCCAGTAATATTTTTCTGTAAATAGTTTTAATTTATTAAACTGTATTGAAATGTGACCAACCATTTTTGGATTTTTTTCCCATTATCAGATTTATGTTTTATATTATAAAAAATAAAAAATATCCTTTACATTTTATTAATGCAGCAGTAATATTAAATAAATTGCAAAAAGATTTTATTAATTTAGTTACTATTGTACATAAGAATTGAGTGTTCTCAATGTTGTAAACTAGGCAATACAATTTTCATTAATCAAACCTTTACAACTTTCTCTACTTGAACAATT